TTTCCTCTATTAACTGTTTGTGTCAGGTTTTGACCAATTTGTTGCTTTTTGGGGTCTATTTCAAATATTTTGGCACTGTCAAGCAATATATTTTGGAATCTCTTGGAATACAATGTTCCCTACTTTTATTGTTAAACCATTTTAAAATTTCTTCTCAGGTGAGTGTTGGACCACTTCAGTAATACTTAGAAATAAAGTAAATGCCCCTCTGTTTTAGGCAGGAGGTTTGCACTGACTGCCTGGGCTGTGCGCTTTGGAGAGCAGTATGAGCCACTCCTCGATGGGCACTTCATGAGATATATAACAAAGCCAAACTCCTCCTTCCACAGTATCTTTTTATAGTTATTTTGGAAATCAGAGTAGTGTAAAATTGAAATATTAAGGATAAGGTTTAAAAAAGAAAGTAATCATGTTTTTAAAAGTGATCTAATAGATTCAGAAACTGTACTGAAAAATTGTTATTTTTTTCTTTTTCTTAAAAGGATCTGGAGTAAAGCAGCTATAAGAATTAGGGAACTGAACAGAATATAAATGAAATAATGTGCTTGAAGTGATTAAAAAGGAGTACTGCGAGTAGTTGAAGTGCAAGAAGAAATGTAAAAAAACAAGTTGAGGCTTTGAAATATGTTTTTCCAAACATCTTAAAAAGTGTCCAGATTATCTGGTGAGTAGCTCTACACAAAGGCTAATATTTGCTCTGAATTATAAAGTCTCTGCAAATATTTCTAATGCCACATATGTATAAAAAATTCCACAAATGCAAAATAGCGTTCAGGCTGACAAACATCTTATTTCCACAATGTGATTTAAGCATGTTGGAGGCTATAATTGCATTAAAAGTGGTCACTTTCACATGTATTTCTGTGTGTCCAGAAAGAACAGACAAAAAGTTCTTTAAATAATTAAAGAAATGTGGGACACAAGAGTGTGCATGTGCATATATATACATTAGTGAAAAGAAATGAGGAAGAACCCAAAAATGTCAAGAAGGACAGTAAAATATTTTTCAAGATATTTTAATAAAGTGAATGGACATTGAAGAATGAAGTGTTGAAAATGTTCCAATGGTAAAGTAAAATCTAAATGGTAAAAAGCTCCTGAAGAAGCTGACATCAAAGTCCTTCAATGCCAGAAGTGCTCTGGGAATGTCTGAGAAGTTTCAGTATGTATTTAATCAATAGTCAGTGCTACAGTACTGTGACTTCGTGGGAGCATCACCAGCTTTAAAGTCCATGAACAGAAGATACAAATTGTTGTCCAAAACAGAGCAAAAGAATTGCCCTACATTTTACTCTCCTATTAATAAAAATTAAAACCAAATAATTAGCAATTGCCGGCAAAGGCTCAAATTGATGAGAAATAAGTGTGTACACCCCAGAGAGCAGTACCAGGAGCTTCTCAGAGGTGGCAGTGAGCCTTGGAGTGGTGCCCATGTTTCCCAAGAGCCAGGGGCTGCTGGCAGTGACATGGAGCTGCTGCGACTGCAGTCACACCCCATGGGAGTGTGTTGGCCCTTGGCTTCTTGTTCTGCTTGGGACACAGACTCTGCTCCTGCCCTGAGGTGACCTGAATGAGAGACGAAGACTTTACTTTCCTCCATGGGGTGAAAGGAAGAGGGTAGTGCCCCTTTGCCAGCTCTCTGTGGGATTTGCTGTGGTGGGGCTGAAGCTGCGGTGCCCCAGGGCATCCTGCAAAGGGGCATTGAGTTACTCCAAAAAATTGGGAAATGACTGGCAAGTTTGTACAGCTGCTGTTGTTGAAAGCTTGTGAAAGAAAAGTCTTATTTGCATCTTTTCACATCATCTTCCTCTTTCTCAAAGTTGCTTTTTCAAGCCTGTACCATTTGGTGTTACATGCACCATATCTGAAACACCCAACTGCAGCCTTCACCTCTTATGTCCTGCCCAGCAGGGATTTCTGACACTGATAGCCCAGGCAGAGAGACTGTATTTGTAAAGCGTCAGCTTGGACTTGATTTCTTACAGACCTGTATGTGCCTGTCATTTCAAGATGGAGTTCGACTCCCTCTCCATTGCTGGGAGCACGCAATGAGCGTCCTTTCAGCGTTTGCTTTGGCAATCAGCGCAGTCTCTTAAACTCCACTTCCCAAAGATTAGCAGACAATGTGTCTATGGAGATTTATTTTGACAGCTTATGTTTTAGCCAGCTTGTTCTGCATTTTGGTTTTAGCCAGCATGCCACATGACATTAAAGAACAGCTGAACTGAGTGGACATCTGCTGTCACAAAAGTGACCATTAAATTTACTGGCAGGCATAAATCAGGCTGAATTAAAAAGTCAACAAAATCCCACTCAGTAGGGAACATAAACATAATGGCTGTGGCTAACACTGTTTGGGGAGGGTTTTTTTTTTTTTCCTTTACTTTTTTTTTTTTTTCTCTCTTGCCTTTTTTTTTGCCACTTCTCTCTACCCTAGAGAGTGGGCAGACTCTCTTACCTACTAATTTGTCTGATTTTGATAAGTTTCTCCATTGGTTTCTCAGGTTAATACTGGACCTTCTGAGTACACTTGGGGCTTAGAAATATTTAGAGAAATGGCCTCTCAAGCAGCAAATAAATATCATCCTGAAAACAGCTGGAGCATTGGCCCATGGCACTCATTTACACCACTCTTTGAAAGGCCATTTTTCAGCTCTGTAGAAGACAGGTGGGACTGGGAGGAGAGATCTTGTGGGAGAAAGAAAACAACTTTTTTTTTTTTTTTTTTTTTTTTCCCCCTGTTAATCAACTCATTTGTTTAAATTAATGTATTTCTAACAGAGAAGCCTGGATGAAATTTTTCTTGCTCCATGCTAGGACATTGGGCATTATGCACCTGTGCTGTGCTGAAAGATGTACATGGCAGGGAACTCACCAGTACTTTTTACTCCATATATAAACCTGTTAATAAATAATACTTTTCATGAAAGATTTGTTTGAAAATGTGACTTAGCTGCCACATACTTTAAGACTTTCCCTGTCTCCCTGCCCGTTGCTGGAGACAACCAAACTGTCCCAACCCAGCGGCCTTTCCAGTGGCATGTGTGCAGCTCACAGAGTGGGTAGTTTTCTATTGCATTTCCCTTATGAACCCCATGCACTGATGGGCATCTCCATCACCTCATGACTACCTGGCCAGCATGACTGGACAAGCCAATGATCTGGGTGGACTTTGCCATGTAGCCCATCATGGAAAGGCATCTCATCACCTCTAATGCTGAACACCATCGAGACACACTGCTTTGCTTCTGCCTCTGCTGAAAGCTTTTCTTGCACAGATCCTGCAGTTCACACACAGGCAAACTCCAGGTTTGCTCCTGACTCTCAGCTATTTTCTGACTAAGTATGTCATATGTTTACTACTGTTATCACTGGTTATAATAAAGTGCAAAATTATAAAATTATTATTACAATAAAATTAATAAAATCATTGTTTTATTAGGGAATATTTCCATGGCAGACTACAGAAGAGGACCAAAGGCATTGGTGAGGGAGGCATTTGTCTCCCCAGAGGCCCATGGCCATGTGGGGTGGGCATGGGGGTCCCTGAGGCTCTGTACTTCAGCAGCTATTGGATGACCAGGAAGGACACATCCTTCCATCACAGCTGCCACTGTCACTTCGGCAGCACTCCTGGTTTAGCCTGGTGGATGCTTAAGCTACATCGAATGTTCATAAGGAGTGTCTGCCTCAGCTCACGGGGGCTGTGCTGATGCCAGTCTCACTGCAACAGCAACGGCTTCACCAAGAAATGTCCCCAGCAGCCACCACAGGTGGGGGTTGTAACCTACTGCTGCATCTGCTGTGCTGCAGACCAGCAGCCTTTCTCCTTCACTCATGGCTTACTGACATGTTAAAATGTAGGGCAGCTGTTAAAATATCAAGTACTGTACCATGGAAAAAAAGAGAACATTTCAATTAAAAAAAAAAAAATCCCATATATGCATGGTTAGATGCTGGGCACAGTGAGCAACAGCAGCCCAACAGGCCCACTGCTCATGGCCTGCTGCTTGTACAGCAAACACAAAGCGCTGCAACAGTTCCCAGCAGTTTTCTCACCAGTTCATTTTGCCTTGAAATCAAAGTGCCTCTCAATTTAAAATCTGCAGAATCAATCCTATGACTCCTGTAGGCTTACAGCGGCTACACTATTGCACAAACCCCAGCAGCCATGTATAGATCTAAGCCATCATACTATAAATATTTTTCTATCCTTGGCCCATAGGTTAGAGGTTAAGTAGGTTCAGGCTAATCTTGATTTGTGACCCAGCTTCACATACCGGCAGTGAGGTTAAGCCCACTTCCGGCGGCACACTGCCTTCAGCGGGCTGTAATGAAGCCCATACACACTAGATGGCCCCAGGAGAACACAGCGCTGCTTGGAAATTATAACTGAAACCTGCTATTTTGGATTAAAAAAAGATAAATAAATTTAGTTACTCCAAATCCCTTGTCACAGAATTATTTAGACTGAGTTTTTCAAAGTGACCAAAGGGCAATCAGCACATGTGTTACCGGGAAGCCAGAGCAATTTTGTATTTGTACAATAGAGATTAACTTCCATGATATGCTTTTCTCAGAGAAGCTGACAGACTGGCTACAGCTGTGTCACTGTTTTCATTACCAACGTGTAAGAAAGAAAATAGTGTGAAGAAAACAAAATTTTTTTTGAGAGGAAAAATTGTGCTGTACTTACATTGCCGTGATAGAGCAACTAAGTATGGGGAGGAGGTTTTGCGATCACCATGTGCAATAGTACACCCTGCACAGAGCTGTGGGCAGGGTTTGGGGCCTGATGGCACTGTGCACTGACAAATTACAGCTGTGCAGTCTGGCCTTTGCTGTGGTTTTCTGTCTTGATAAACGCCATTAAAATATTGGAGATTGAGACAGACACCTTGAAATTAAAAAAAAAAAAAAAAAGCCTGTTTTTGACTGTTTGTAAGGACTTGGGAACAGAATTGGTTTTGACTCCATCTTCATACTACCAACCAATAAACATGTCCGTCACAATCCCTGCAGCCAAAGAAAAAATGCCAAGAGTGGTTCTGGGTGTGATTTTTAGCACTTCACACTATCAACCATACTACATCTCTTCTTTAGGGTTGAGTCCCCAGCAGGATTTATTTCTGCGTCAAGGAAGATTACAGCTAATAGGATTTGCTTCTTGGAGGCTGTTGGCATGTTTGGTGCAAACCCTGCACAGTGCTTTCTTAAAGGAGAATATGGACCCTATTTGTCATCTTTTTCTTCTTCTTCTGGCCTTCCACAAGATAAATCCCTCTATTTCGTCTTGTGTCACAGGATGCTCTTGTTCTCAAGACAGCTTTGGAAGGTAAGGACACTAGTTACCCTAGTCATAGCACCAGCAAAGCAGCTCGGAGAGTCCAAATATATCTATGCCAATGATGTGAGCACCAAAACCAAACAGATGGCCACATGATATGCCTCCTCTGATACTTGAATAGTACTACCTTGAGCATAGAATGACATTTCTCTTATTTCCCTGAGACATGTAGTTGCATACGTAGCAATCTTTATGACTTAATTGGATTCTTTGTGGGAAAACAGGTGTAAAACCCAAGGAAGCATGGATGTGTGGCCTATGCATGACCTGTATACAATATCTTATAATTATTCAAGTTCTTGTAGATCTGTATAGGCAACTGGTATGTTAGCCATGAATATGGTGTGTGACTTAGAGAATTTCCTGGTTTCCTCCTTAGGAGTTTGCTCTGCATGTCTACACTGCTGAGGCAGATCCCTGCAAACATCCCTCAGGACATCCGGAAAATTAGAATAGAAAATTCTCACCTAACAGAATTGCCTCGTGGGTCTTTTGAGAACGTTAGTGCCTTGGAGTATCTCTGGCTCAATTTTAACAACATCACAGTGATGCACATCAAGAGCCTGGAATATCTGCTGGCTTTGAAGGAGCTGCGCTTGCAAGGGAACAAATTAAGTTCAGTGCCATGGACAGCATTTCAAGACACTCCGGCTTTGAAAATCCTGGATCTGAAGCACAACCGGCTGGATGTCCTTCCAGAACACGCGCTCCGCTATCTGCCCAACCTGACCTATTTAGATCTATCCTCAAATCAGCTTACCGTCATATCCAGGGATGTCTTCTACAGTTGGCCTGTCTACCAGAGAAGCCAGAGGGCGGAGGGGCAGATAGAAGCTATTTCCAATGCCGTCCTGGCCCTTCATGACAACCCCTGGATTTGTGACTGTCGCCTGCGGGGATTTGTCCAGTTTATCAAGTCGGTTGGCCCACCTATTATTCTGATGAATTCCTATTTAACTTGCTCAAGCCCGAAATTCAGGGCAAGGAAGTTTTTTCATGAAGTGGAGCTCAACAGCTGCATGAAGCCCCTGACCTCGGCCCTTGACACCAACCTGACAGTGCCAGTGGGGCTGAATGTCACCCTGACCTGCTTTGTGCAAGCCAGCCCTTCCCCAGCTGTCTGGTGGACCTATGCGCTTAAACTTTTAAGGGCATTTAATGGTAAGCAATGCTTTATCTTCTTCCTTTTTTTTTTTTTTTTTTTCTCTTCATTAAAAATTTATGTTCTGCTGTTCTATTTATGTAGGTCTTCAGGCCATCACAGTCACCATACCAGCTCCTAGCCCCTTTAGAGCATCGCAGTTATTGTGGTGGCAATAATCCAAATAATCTTAATCATCCTACATGTCTAAGCATGTCTAACCAGCATGAGAAGAGCTGCTTCACACAGGACATCAGTCAAAGATGAAAGGAGCATGGCCTCATTTTTACACAATTATTTTTTGTGTGGATTTTTAGTAGTAGCTCTTTCATCATGACACATGATGTAAGAACTATTAATAACACAATACTTATAAATATACAGTAAATGTGTTATCTAGATGTACAGATATTTACACTATATATTATATAATACATATATATATATACACACACTCCATGTAATTATGTTTGTATGTACGTATGTGTTTGTAGGAGTACAGACACACACATAAGCACTCACACACTTGTATGTTTCTACACCATACTCATATGTTTTCTTGAGAAATACTCACACAAACCACAGAACCATGCAGCCCTGTTGCCTGTCTATGTCCATTCATGTTCTACAACCAAAACAGAGGTTGTCATGCTCCATAAGCCTTACTTATTTGTGTTCTTTATTGAGGGCCTTGTTATACAAGGCCTTTTCCTCTTCCTCCCCATCCAGCTTGGCTCTTACATGCCCTCCCTCGCATTTATTTTTACTTAGAGCCTTCAATAGGACCAGTTGCTATTTTTATCAAGTAAGCTAATAAAGCATATGGGCACCACACAGGTTATGTGTGCTCCTAATAAGCCAGCTAGCTAAATAAGATAGCATTAGCCCCTAATCCTGGACTGATATTTGCTTTAATTGCAGTGTTGTAGCAGCACTTGTGCACCTTTCCACAAGCACATGCTGAATTAATTACATACAGGCTTTTCCCGACCACAGCCACACGCCCCTGCTTGGGTAGACAACAGGGTGTTTCATACTGGTCTTAAAGCTGTGTCTCGCTTCCAGCCCAACACTTCCTGGCACCACACATGTCTTTTTGGCCCAAGCGTCTTGAGGCGGATATTTTTCTGCACTCAATCCTAACGGGGGACAGAGCGTGTGTCCAAAAATGCAGCTGTGCCTCCTGCATCTCAGTGGCTCTCCCTGGCTTGCCCTGACCTGAGTGTGCTGACAGCAGATGGCACACGGGCAGCTTGGACTCTGCCTGCAGCAGCCTCTCCAGCTCAGCTGCTTGCACTGGGGTGGGGGGTGGGGTCAGACACATTCCCTGTCTCCTGTGCTCGGGGAGTCCTGGTGTGTGTATTGCCTTTTGGCCTGGAAAATGCTTCACTGATGAGCTCTGTGGGGTTTGGTGAGCTCCTGCACCCCACTTGCTGCTTCCCAGGCCAGGACAGGTCCTGCCTGGACTCCTGACCCCCATCCCACATGGAAGTGGTCTTGGGGCTGCCCCAAGGGCGTGGTGGGTCCCTGCCTGACACAGTTCCCCTCTGCCCACAGTGTCCACCGAGCCCATCAGCGAGGAGACCGTCCGCTCAGAGCTGCTGATCCCTGTGGCACGGCCAGTGGAAACTGGCACCTACACCTGCACAGCCGCTAACTTCTTGGGCACCATCACCCTCCATGTGAGAGCCCCATGGGCATCCACTGCCTCCCCGGGCTGGGCCCCCATTGCCCCTGCTGAGCTGGGCACCCATGTAGAAGTGCGCATCGCCAAGCAGACCGTCTACGGCATCACCTTGGAATGGTTTGTGGTGGCGGCAGCAGCAGCAGCGGAGCCAGGGGAGACCTGGTACACTCTCTTGGTGGGCCGCTATGATGCTGCCCAGAAGGACACAATCTATATCGGGCCTGGCATCAACACCTACTCGGTGACTGACCTACTGCCCGCCACCAAGTACGAGGTCTGTGTGGCCGTGCGCAACCAGGCGCCTCGCAAGGGCCAGTGCGTCGTCTTCGTCACGGGCAGCGATGTCAGCCAGCTGGAGCAGCGTGAGAAGCTCATCCACATTGTGGTTATCGTCTGCGCCATGGTGTTGGCCGTGCCTGCTGGCATGTATGCCTGCACTGCTGAAGCCCGCCCTGGCTGCCTGGCCCGCTGCCCTG